GTCATGCTTATGGATTGGTTGCTAAGGTTAGCGCCCTATTGTTAAGGTTATGGGTTGGTTGCTAAGGTTAGAGTCCTGTTGTTAAGGTTAGTGCTCTGTTGTCAAGCTTATGTATTGGTTGTTAAGGTTAGATTTCTGTTGTTAAACTTATGGAATGGTAGCTAACATTAGCTCCTTGTTGTAATGCTTAGCTCTCTGTTGTTAGGCTTATGGATTAAGAAGATCACGGGGTCGTATTGTTGATGTTATGGTTTTGTTATGAAAGATCATGGACTGGCTGTCAAGGTTATGTGCTGGTTGTCATGCTTATGGATTGGTTGCTAAGGTTAGCGCCCTATTGTTAAGGTTATGGGTTGGTTGCTAAGGTTAGAGTCCTGTTGTTAAGGTTAGTGCTCTGTTGTCAAGCTTATGTATTGGTTGTTAAGGTTAGATTTCTGTTGTTAAACTTATGGAATGGTAGCTAACATTAGCTCCTTGTTGTAATGCTTAGCTCTCTGTTGTTAGGCTTATGGATTAAGAAGATCACGGGGTCGTATTGTTGATGTTATGGTTTTGTTATGAAAGATCATGGACTGGCTGTCAAGGTTATGTGCTGGTTGTCATGCTTATGGATTGGTTGCTAAGGTTAGCGCCCTATTGTTAAGGTTATGGGTTGGTTGCTAAGGTTAGAGTCCTGTTGTTAAGGTTAGTGCTCTGTTGTCAAGCTTATGTATTGGTTGTTAAGGTTAGATTTCTGTTGTTAAACTTATGGAATGGTAGCTAACATTAGCTCCTTGTTGTAATGCTTAGCTCTCTGTTGTTAGGCTTATGGATTAAGAAGATCACGGGGTCGTATTGTTGATGTTATGGTTTTGTTATGAAAGATCATGGACTGGCTGTCAAGGTTATGTGCTGGTTGTCATGCTTATGGATTGGTTGCTAAGGTTAGCGCCCTATTGTTAAGGTTATGGGTTGGTTGCTAAGGTTAGAGTCCTGTTGTTAAGGTTAGTGCTCTGTTGTCAAGCTTATGTATTGGTTGTTAAGGTTAGATTTCTGTTGTTAAACTTATGGAATGGTAGCTAACATTAGCTCCTTGTTGTAATGCTTAGCTCTCTGTTGTTAGGCTTATGGATTAAGAAGATCACGGGGTCGTATTGTTGATGTTATGGTTTTGTTATGAAAGATCATGGACTGGCTGTCAAGGTTATGTGCTGGTTGTCATGCTTATGGATTGGTTGCTAAGGTTAGCGCCCTATTGTTAAGGTTATGGGTTGGTTGCTAAGGTTAGAGTCCTGTTGTTAAGGTTAGTGCTCTGTTGTCAAGCTTATGTATTGGTTGTTAAGGTTAGATTTCTGTTGTTAAACTTATGGAATGGTAGCTAACATTAGCTCCTTGTTGTAATGCTTAGCTCTCTGTTGTTAGGCTTATGGATTAAGAAGATCACGGGGTCGTATTGTTGATGTTATGGTTTTGTTATGAAAGATCATGGACTGGCTGTCAAGGTTATGTGCTGGTTGTCATGCTTATGGATTGGTTGCTAAGGTTAGCGCCCTATTGTTAAGGTTATGGGTTGGTTGCTAAGGTTAGAGTCCTGTTGTTAAGGTTAGTGCTCTGTTGTCAAGCTTATGTATTGGTTGTTAAGGTTAGATTTCTGTTGTTAAACTTATGGAATGGTAGCTAACATTAGCTCCTTGTTGTAATGCTTAGCTCTCTGTTGTTAGGCTTATGGATTAAGAAGATCACGGGGTCGTATTGTTGATGTTATGGTTTTGTTATGAAAGATCATGGACTGGCTGTCAAGGTTATGTGCTGGTTGTCATGCTTATGGATTGGTTGCTAAGGTTAGCGCCCTATTGTTAAGGTTATGGGTTGGTTGCTAAGGTTAGAGTCCTGTTGTTAAGGTTAGTGCTCTGTTGTCAAGCTTATGTATTGGTTGTTAAGGTTAGATTTCTGTTGTTAAACTTATGGAATGGTAGCTAACATTAGCTCCTTGTTGTAATGCTTAGCTCTCTGTTGTTAGGCTTATGGATTAAGAAGATCACGGGGTCGTATTGTTGATGTTATGGTTTTGTTATGAAAGATCATGGACTGGCTGTCAAGGTTATGTGCTGGTTGTCATGCTTATGGATTGGTTGCTAAGGTTAGCGCCCTATTGTTAAGGTTATGGGTTGGTTGCTAAGGTTAGAGTCCTGTTGTTAAGGTTAGTGCTCTGTTGTCAAGCTTATGTATTGGTTGTTAAGGTTAGATTTCTGTTGTTAAACTTATGGAATGGTAGCTAACATTAGCTCCTTGTTGTAATGCTTAGCTCTCTGTTGTTAGGCTTATGGATTAAGAAGATCACGGGGTCGTATTGTTGATGTTATGGTTTTGTTATGAAAGATCATGGACTGGCTGTCAAGGTTATGTGCTGGTTGTCATGCTTATGGATTGGTTGCTAAGGTTAGCGCCCTATTGTTAAGGTTATGGGTTGGTTGCTAAGGTTAGAGTCCTGTTGTTAAGGTTAGTGCTCTGTTGTCAAGCTTATGTATTGGTTGTTAAGGTTAGATTTCTGTTGTTAAACTTATGGAATGGTAGCTAACATTAGCTCCTTGTTGTAATGCTTAGCTCTCTGTTGTTAGGCTTATGGATTAAGAAGATCACGGGGTCGTATTGTTGATGTTATGGTTTTGTTATGAAAGATCATGGACTGGCTGTCAAGGTTATGTGCTGGTTGTCATGCTTATGGATTGGTTGCTAAGGTTAGCGCCCTATTGTTAAGGTTATGGGTTGGTTGCTAAGGTTAGAGTCCTGTTGTTAAGGTTAGTGCTCTGTTGTCAAGCTTATGTATTGGTTGTTAAGGTTAGATTTCTGTTGTTAAACTTATGGAATGGTAGCTAACATTAGCTCCTTGTTGTAATGCTTAGCTCTCTGTTGTTAGGCTTATGGATTAAGAAGATCACGGGGTCGTATTGTTGATGTTATGGTTTTGTTATGAAAGATCATGGACTGGCTGTCAAGGTTATGTGCTGGTTGTCATGCTTATGGATTGGTTGCTAAGGTTAGCGCCCTATTGTTAAGGTTATGGGTTGGTTGCTAAGGTTAGAGTCCTGTTGTTAAGGTTAGTGCTCTGTTGTCAAGCTTATGTATTGGTTGTTAAGGTTAGATTTCTGTTGTTAAACTTATGGAATGGTAGCTAACATTAGCTCCTTGTTGTAATGCTTAGCTCTCTGTTGTTAGGCTTATGGATTAAGAAGATCACGGGGTCGTATTGTTGATGTTATGGTTTTGTTATGAAAGATCATGGACTGGCTGTCAAGGTTATGTGCTGGTTGTCATGCTTATGGATTGGTTGCTAAGGTTAGCGCCCTATTGTTAAGGTTATGGGTTGGTTGCTAAGGTTAGAGTCCTGTTGTTAAGGTTAGTGCTCTGTTGTCAAGCTTATGTATTGGTTGTTAAGGTTAGATTTCTGTTGTTAAACTTATGGAATGGTAGCTAACATTAGCTCCTTGTTGTAATGCTTAGCTCTCTGTTGTTAGGCTTATGGATTAAGAAGATCACGGGGTCGTATTGTTGATGTTATGGTTTTGTTATGAAAGATCATGGACTGGCTGTCAAGGTTATGTGCTGGTTGTCATGCTTATGGATTGGTTGCTAAGGTTAGCGCCCTATTGTTAAGGTTATGGGTTGGTTGCTAAGGTTAGAGTCCTGTTGTTAAGGTTAGTGCTCTGTTGTCAAGCTTATGTATTGGTTGTTCTTTGGGGGTTGAATCGCCGGCCATTTTGATCCCTTTGCTTTGATTCGGTTTGAGTTGGGGTCGGTTGATTTAGGGCTAGGGTTTTGAATTGGGTTTCTGGAGTCGGTTTGCTTGCAGAAGAGAGAGATGACAGGGTACGGACGAGGAGGTAACTCATAACGGGGAATTTTAAACGTAAGGGTATTTTGGGCATTTCGAGCGGGGTTTAAACGGCGTTACGCCTGGGGATTGGTTTTGGGGGCTGGAAGAAAATCGGGGGCGGTTTTGGGGGTAAAAGGAACGTTGAAAAGGTCTTGGGGGGGCAGAGCATGTTTTGGGTTGTTTTGGGGGCTGGAAGCAATTTTCCCTATTTTTAATGTAGATTCTAACATATTTTTATTTATTTTTTTGAAGAAACAAATACATACCTATAATAGATATGTCCAACCCATTCAACTTATGGTTTAGTCAAACAGAACTCAAAACTAGAATATAGATAATTTGTGAGATAAAATTTTATCTGCTCTCAATTTATCGTTTGATTTCGTCTTAAGAACCTGCTGTTTACTTTTGTTGCTTAGTTTGTTTTTTCCTAAATATTTATTCGTTTAGATTGCATCCATCGAGGACAATCTATGTTACTTTTGATGAGAATACGTGATGTAAATAGACCCCCTATTTTTTTTTTTTTTTTAACTCAGAGCGCAGCCATTCACACCGTATTTATTTCTGGAAAAGATGAAGCACAGAGGTGAGCTTCTGAGCAAAGCCCACCCAAATATACTCTGCTTGATTTTGTTCTCCAAGGTAGGAGGAGCAAAGCCCACCCAAATATACTCTGCTTCCAGTTCCTATCAAGCAAAGCTGCAATATACAAGCATCCAAAACCAGTAAGAGTTAAAAGCACAACAAGTCTCGGATATGCATTCAAACAAATTTCAGGGGAGAAAAACCTACCCTCGGACGCTCTTACAGAAAATCATATAGAGGAGAATGTGAGACCCACCTCGCTACCAATTATAAATAAATGCGACGATATTATATCATCAATAACGGTGAAATCGCCTATGTTTACTCAACGCAATCAAAAAAACCAATCACCAACTTTAAAATGCTCGTTGAGACGGCATGTTTTCCTTTCACCCTCTTATTTTGGTTAGTTTTTTTTTCCTCCTAAATTTCAGTAGATATCACCAAAACAATAGAAATTCACCCCCACAAGCATCAATTTTCAAACCAAGTATATAGCAACAGAGAAGACATCTGCAATCGCTTCAATCAAAACAGGTTTGTACATGGGGCTAACAACTAGAAGAACTTTTTGGTGATTATTAAACGAAGAAATCCCCTAAATTAGGAAGAATATTAGACATGTGGCTTAAATGAATGTTAAACGAAGTTGGAACCAGAAATCACATTGTTTAGACTTCTCTTTATAAATGATGTGGACGATGGTAGATGTTGGAAAGAAATCGTAAAATAAATTAATATATGTATCATCTAAGCTACAGGTCATTTTATCTTTGCTCATTTGGAACGATGGACTACTCCATTCTCAATCAAGTACTCCACAAACTCATCAATCAAATATGGCCAAGCTCCCTCTGCATCGTAGTTGGATAACTGAGGGTCAATCATCTGTAAAGTAAAAATAGCATAACATTAGTAACAGTAAAACTTCATAAAAACCCCCATAACTCTGGGGATTTTTCTACAAAACCCCCAAAATTCATAAACCATAAATTTTAAATTAAAAAAAAAACTCTTTGAACTTTCAAAATTATACCACCCCACCTGAACTATTGGGAATTATTACAAACAATGGTAAAATGTTAAAGTACAAAGTCTGAAGTACCCACTTCACCTTTTATCTACCCTTACCAATAATAGTAATTTAGAAGTCATATTCAGTAAAATTGTCCAATAAGTTGTCACATGTTCAAATTTGAAAAGTGTCATTAGTCATGGTAAGTAGGCAAGTGCGGGTGTTATGAACAAAAATCCACAAAATTCACGCGATTTGTAAAATTTACCCAGTTAGTAATTATTGAAGGGGAAAGAAGATTAGAAAGGACGAATCAGCAACTAATGGGAATCCTGCCAAACGCAAAAGCTTCATTTCAGCAGCAAGTAAGGAAATTTTTGATTCATATAAGCTATTGGCTCTTTTTGTTTTTTTGCTTTTTTATATATTGTTCGTTTTTGTAATTTCTGCTTTTCTGTATTTCGTTTAACTCTGAACTCTGTCTCAAAACGAATGGTTTATGATAACAAAACAAGCTTCCCACAAGTAATGGTGAACTGGAGTAGGATCATGATTGATCATCACAAGTTGCAGAAACAGAGAAGATTTGTCTTTATGGATTAAAGACTAGACTCTCACTTGCTCCTAGTACCCTCTGGAAGAAAATTTTGGCAGTAGGTCATAGAGCAGATAGAAAGTTGAGGACTTGAGGATAAGAAAATTTTGGCACTAGCTCATAGAGAACATTTCTTAACCTATTATAGGAACTGCTATTCTTAACGAATCTCTAGGCTTAGGAGTCTGACCCATAGATGATGGTAACAGCGATGATGACTACAGCCAATTATAGGAACTGCTATTCTTATAAAACTCCTAGGCTCAGGAGTCATACCCATAGATGATGATAACAGCGATGATGACTACACCCTTCAACATGACCATTTGTGAGCCATACTGAACAAAAGCATGTGACATTCTAATTGTGGAAATAATGCATGCGGCTAATACCAGAAGGCTCACCTTAGCAAACTCAAGTAGCTGAGACCATGTATCCCTTGAGATTGCCTTGTTATGCCTCACCTGAAGGAGGAAGTTTGAGCTGATCAGAAAGATAAATGTCACACTTGTTGCAGCACGATAGTATATAGAAAATAACACATAAAGGAGGTCTAAATAAAAGAGCTGCAAAATTACATAAGAACATAAAAACCCCAATTTCATCTATTGCTCTAATAATGTTGCAAAATTTACCACATTCAATACCTCGGTTCCCACAATAATTTTTGGGTCAACAGCAAATACACCACCACTAGCACTAGGATGGTGTAGTCACTTATACCCGTTAACTTTTTTTTTGTTACCACTAGCATACTTTGAACTCAGATTACCTTCTTGTCCTCAATTTAAATCTTTTTCCAGTTAAAACTGAGGAAAAAGTTAATTTATCATTATGTGACATATCAACGTTAACTTGGGGAAATAATTTTGTCTGCACTCCAGGCCAGGGTTGTAACTGCTAATTGAACAATTTAGAGGGCATAAGTTGCCGTACCCTCACATAGCCTCATATAGTACAAGGGTTATATCTGCAATTAACCCATAATTATTTAACATGGAAGGAAACCTAGCTGAAAACTGATTGATGTTAATAACAAATTATCTGGAAAAAGCATTTCCTTGTTGCCGTTGTCAGTGGTTTCACAATAATCATTCTGAAGGTTGAGTACAGGGTTCATCAAAAAAATTCTTGTTTGCGGTATCAAGAAAGAATGGAACAGTTACCTGTAAGAACTGGCACCAATCTTCAATCAAAGGCCAATGTTTTTCAGCAAATAATAACTGCCACATGCCAATAGCTGTATCCAGAGCTAGAGATTTTTGACCCTACAATGCCCCAACAGAGAACTCTCTCAATAGCAAACTCTGATGACATCAATAATTACTTAACTAGATGAAAAACTAAGTGTAGTTCCATTCTTTCTACTTCCATGTATTGCAATAAATAATAGAAAGGCAGAGACAGCATTAGGAAAATAAGCAATGCTAAATCAGCATTTAGTAACAGTTTGACAGGTATATCAATAGCTAGACCAACTATGCTCACTATAATATGCAATTTCCATCTTTTGGCTGTGCAAAGCAATTGAATATAAGTGGAATCGTGAGGTGAGAAAAATCATTAAAACAAGGAATGCAAGATCTTGCAAATAAAATTTCTCTGGTCCAGGCTGCTAACCAGCTTTACCCTTGACAGGTCATTTCACTGACATTCAGGTGAACTGATTAGGAGCCAATTCCTCTGCCGAGTAATTTATTTTCCAAGATAGCCTGTGCATCTATGCCATCAAAAGAGGTGATATACAATCTTTTGCTTGTGTTGATGTAAATCAGTTGCATCTAAATGAAGAAAGTGAAAGAGAAATTGACATCAAAGGAGGGGGGAATGCCACTGCAGCAGGCTACCAACTTTTGAGAATGAGGGAAAGGGAGTCGATGCCAGAGTCTTGCTGCCTTGTTAATGTTAAGACAACTGGTTTTCCTTAAGTGTGTTCATTATGTGCTTCTCAAGTTATGTGTTTCTCAAGCTCATAACCAAGTCATACTGTAGTTGAGACTCCAGTTCGCATTCTTGCCAAGGAGGACAAGAAATTTCGGAATAAGGTAATTTCATTAGTTAAAGTCCAGCGGAATAAGAAGGGAGTTGAGGAAGCTTCTTGGGAACGCGAGGAGGATATGCATCGTGATTACCCACATCTGTTCGAGCAAGTATATTGATATTATTGGGTATTGATCTTACCTATATAGTTGCATTTACACTTCACGCTGGAATGTGACTATTAACACTTAACGGCTAATCAATCGAAACATATGGTATATACATGGGGGTTCCTTGTTTAGATTTTTCACCCGACGTACTAGTTCTGTCTAATTAAAGGTTAAGTGGGGTATTCACATTCTAGATGTTAAGTGTAAGTATTTCATGCTTGATCCTAATCTTGTGATTAATGATACATTATGTGTACATGAGAGTTTCCTTGTTTGGATTATCCCCTCAACGTACTTTTCTCGTATTATTAACCTTTAAGATTAAACTACTGAATTTCGGTGACGAAATTTTCTTTAAGGAGGGGTGAATGCAAAACCCTAAAATTTAGAAAAAAAAATATTTTAAATAATAATAAATGAGTTTTATTGTGATTGGTGATCATTCTGGGATGAATGAATCAGTTTGAAATCGCTTTGAAATCAATTCGCAGTTTCAGCCTCGGTATCGCAAGTCTGCTGAAATCTGTCGTATTTTTATTTTTAGTAATTTTTATATTGATCAGATGGACACGAGGTTTGCGCCATTGATCTTAGAATGTTGAAACCGTGTTGTAGGTAAAGTTTCATTGCATTCTGACAATGAAGACTGAAACCCAATTTTTGAATA